GCATGCTTCGATAAATTCATCTCCGCGGAACAAGCGATTGTTTTCCGAACGAGTCCGATAAGGACATAGACGGAAATGAGTAAAGGGGTAATGGGGCGGGGAGGTGGCGGCAGAATAACCCAAACGGAAAGCTCCGAGAATGGCAGAAGGAGTAGAGGAGAAGGAGGAGGAGTAGACGACGTTGGCGCAGGAGGACTTGAGGGAGAGATGGCCCGGCCGTTCATCGGACATTTATCCAATTAACCGATCCGAGTCGAGTAACCGGGGGTCAGGAGGTCGTTCGGGTACCTATATAGACGACGGCGGTGCGCACGGTTCGGTGCACCGGGCATACCAATAATAGATACGCGCGCGCGTCCGCACGGAAGACGAGGAGAGGCTCGGCTTACGTAATGTCGAATGTTGATCCGTTATGTTTAATTACGCGGGACCGATATTGACGGGTAGGTATGCGGCGAGAAGGGTCGGAAAGAGGACAGGGCTCGTCGTTCGAGCCGATACCGGGCTGGGAATCGGTCCCAGTTGCTTGTCCGTAAAGTCAACCCCTTTCTCTTGGTCGGCAGGGGGTTGGGCCACGCGAAAGGGGTTCGGGAAACAGGAGGAGAACTGCTGAGGCGCTCCGGCCACTGTCGAACGAAATGGCCAGCAATATTGTCGTCGTGGTCCGGGGGATTTGCGTGGGGCAGATCGAGCAAGAGCGCCGGGGCTGGGGCTCGAGTGACATGGGAAATTAATTATACGCTAGTGAAACTCCTGACCTCCGAAACAGATCGCGGTCTGTTTTCTCCGCGGCCCTTTTCGTTTTATTCTTTCCTCGGGGAGGGAAACGATTATTGGATGTGTCAACGAGTGGTTCATTATAGTTAGCGATTAATTTTCATATTGCCGGTGTCTCTACTGAATTTTCGATTGTAGTTTTTTGGGGATGGGAATAAGTGGTAATTTCGAGAGGATAGAAATTTGTATGGAATTGAATGTTTTATCTTTTTGAGATAGGGTTTAACCCTTTGAACTCTGTAGGCTCCAATATTGCACGTGTTATAATATCAAATATTTTAATGAATCTTAAAGGAACTACCCTAAAATTATTCGATTTTCACATCCAAATTTTGTGCTAAGAAGGAAAATAAAAGATCGAAGAAATGTTACATTTTTACTTTCGCTAGGAATACTATAAAAATTAGTTGCAGTTGCTGATAGATTACAAAACAACCCGGAGTGCTAAGGGTTAATAGTTTCGAATGAATTCTAATTGATTGGGATACACGCGAATATAAATCGGAGCTGTTGGAAGGGAAAGAAAGCAGATATGTGGTATCGTGATACATAGAAATAAAGAGCGATTCAAACTCACCGAACGCGGCTAGCTGAGAGTACATCCGGGGATCCATTACACCCAGATCTCGGTGTTCAACTGCCCGAGACGGCCGCAAGATTTGTGTTTTCACATTTGTGTAGGGACTCCTCTTGAAATGTTTCGCTTCCCCGAAATCCGCGGCTGTAATGGAAACGCGAGGAAGGAACGAGAGGAACGATTAAATGATTTTAATATGAAAAATTCACGATCGGACGGGGGAGGAACGGCCGCTCACCTCGGTATTCCGGGTAGCCATCGAGCGACGTCAAGTTTATCGGTCGTTCTATGCACGAAATCTGCGAAAAGAGAAAAAAAACCGATTTGTCCCGAAATATGTCGGCTTTTATATATCGTTATGGAGCATACGCGTGGGGAACGACGTCGTAGCCACCGCCGCCTACCAACTTTCTATCTCCTTTCTCATACTTTACCACCCCGGCCAGCACACATACGCTGCGAATATTTATTTTTATTACAATCCGTATACTCCTGAGTCAACAGTTTTTTCTTTTCCTTTTCCTTTTTCCTCGCCTCCGCCTCCAACCGGAGGTACGAATCGATTTTAGTGGGGGCGGGCGTACGGGGTGCGTGAAGTCGAAGAAAATTTCGGTACGTATGAAACGCTGGCGCAACGATGGTCGCCGATCGATTTGTGCTTATTTCGCCGAGAAATTAACACGTTGAATGTCGCATGATTTCATTGAGCGAAATATTCGAAATAGAATAAAAAATAATATTACGTCATTTAATTTAATTGCATTGTTATTATTGCAAGTTCATCTAGCCGAATGTCGCCGCGTTAGCTAGCATTATTTATAATATAGAAACGTCTTCAAATAATTATCGTTTAACCCTTTGCACTCGAGAGGTGACTCTGACCATTTGATTTCATACAGTAAAACTATAAAATTTGATATTTAATATTATATTTCCTACAATGCATCATTTTGAGAAATATTCAGATAAAATAGCTTTGTTCCTCAATGTACACGTGATTTCTCGTCGACTGTTTCACAAAATATCGATTTTATCTCATCAGAAAATGTTAAACTATTTCTAGTGAAAAACATCCGAGTGCAAAGGGTTAACTGAGTGAACTATAGTAATTGAATTTGGTTGGGGGTTACCGGTAACCCCCATGGCATTCAACGTGTTAAAGTCACCGCGTTCGAGGCGATCTATCCTTCGTTTTTCTTAGAAATGAAAGAAGTCGGCCGCGATTCCAGCCGAAATAAATTGTTCGCGCTCGCGTTATATCGCTTTAATGTTTTCGAGACGGGCCACCTTCCCCCTGCTGCAAAGTTAGCGGCTACTGGCGAGTCCAGTAAATCTTACACCCCGAACCATCCCCCGGTTGCCTAGCCATTCTTATTCCCTCGTTACTCGCAGCTTCGCTCGAGGCGGCTCTCTCCTTATTATATCGTCTTTCCACGCCATAAAATCGGAAAAGAATTTCGCTCCCCGAGACAATAGAAACTAATAAATTTGATTGCTGATTATACCCACGAAATTCGCAGATTAAAAAGCGATCGTGGCGTTCAACGAAATCGTCCGGTTCGCTATTGGCGATTATTGTTCGTTGCACGAGAGTATAACGTTGGATGTTCATTAAGTGTAATGTGCGTTGAACTTGTTTATCTTTAAATTAAGTACGAAGCGTAAGTAGAAGAACGGAATGATTAGATGGAAAATGGAAGCAACCTCTTGGGGTGAAAAGTTTTGGAACCCTAAATCTCGGTGATTTACCTTACACTTCGCAATATCGTAATATTGTAATATCGTGAGAGCAAGTTGGTATAATTAAAGTAGAAGTATCTTCAAAATAGCCGCGGGTAATGGCGGCACGAGATCACCCCTCGAGTTTTCCCGAAAATTCATTCCGTCCGCGTGTAAACTGTATCGAATCGGGGTAATTCGGAGATTTTAAGTTGCTAATAATATTTATTACTAAAAATTTCAGTCTATTTGTTTCGAACAATTAATTGTGAAACAAAGCTCCTAAACGATACATGGTAAAACTCCGCTAAAAAGAAATTACTCTTGATTTTGCCTATTATAACCTATATGAGAAAGGATGTAGGTTACAGCCAATAAATAGTATAGCACCTATTTAATATTGGATTTTGATTACATGTAAATGAACGCATCGAAGGGCTTGAAAACATTTGATATGCGTTAGCAATTAAGGCTATGTAGAATTCGGATAATATGGAATTAATATCACATACCATAATTAGCTGTTGATTGACCGCGCTCCGCCGCAAAAATGGCAATAAATAAAATCTGGCGCGAAATGGAAAGAGAAATGGTGGCGCCACTCGACGGCGAGAAAGAGAACTACCCATAAGACTCGATGGTGATATTCCTGGTATCATGAAACATTGAATATATAGTTCATTCGAAACGCGATCGTGTTGAAAAGAGGGAAAATTGTTTAATAATCTTTCGTGTAACTATTTCACGTGAAAAATTCGTAAGAAATTTATCTATTGTTAAATGATTAACAAAATAGTAATGTCTGTTCGGAAAACTGAATGGTGGAGCCTTCTAACGGTTTCATTTGAAAAGTAATGGCTAGTAACTTGGGCGTTTTGTCGCAGATGGCAGCGCAATTTGTATTTTTATAATATTCTGTATTTAATTAGGTATTATATAATTCTGAACGAAAATAACCACCGAATATTATTATAACGATGTGGTATAAATAACTTATCACGAATAGGACATTTATTTTGTACACTAATTCTATTTTTCATAATGTTTAGTGATTATTATGTGCACTGATCAATAAATCGCATAGTAGAAATAAATTAATTTCACAACAATTTCCCGTGAAATTTTTAACTTATCAAGATCTGTATTCAAAGATTAAATAATACTGATTAATTTCCAGTAATTTATATTGGTAAAGAATCATGATAATGCATTGAAAATTGCCATCTATTTTAAAGCTGTTCAATGGACTTAATCAATGGGTCTCCAATAAATTAATTATTCTTTGGTTTCTCGTGGAGCTTTTTCTTCGTCGAACTACAGAATTAAAGTTTAAAGTATACAGAATAAAATTCACTAATTCTCAATTCGTAAAAATTACTTGAAACCTGCAAAATCTCAGATGATTAGAGTAAGGTCCAACGAGTGCGACTGTTGTTCCGGTAAAGAATTAATTCTTCCAGAGCTTTCCGTGGAGCGTTTTCTTCTCCAAGCTGTAAATTAATATCTTGAAAAACGTAGATTATCTCTCGGTAATTGTTTTCAAACAACAGATACGCCGGTTCAAGAATGAGCTCTCATTTAGCGAGTATTTAAGCCTCGGCGTGTGTATAGGTTCCACACCTACATGGAATGACAGTTGAGAAGGAGAAGATCTTGACTTAAGGCGGTTTCCATAGCACATTCTAGAGAAGTCGATTAATCTGGTTCTCATTTATCAATAATACATAAATTATTCAATACATAATACTGATATTCTTAGACTATTGTTTCGCATTCTGACGACAACAGCGATTAACACACATCAGCACGCATAAATCAAAGTATTAATAGTTATTGTCGGTTCACAGTTATAAATGGCTGGTATTTTACTTTCGTTTGCACATTCTTATTGCCGGATGATTCACATTTCAGTTTTTATGTATGCGTACGTGCGCGTACCGGGAAAATATATTTTACCGATGATGCAATGGCTAGAATTACTTATGCAGGAGCTCGGAAAGATATTTTTTAACGTTATCCGTTTATGATAATTCGCTTTGAAATATAGTGCGACATGAAAATTTGCGTGCTGCAAATCGATAACTGTAAATTCAAAATGATCGTTTGTTCTGAACTTCAGAATATAATTGTATGCACACATATCTAAGAATGTTATCTTTGTAAATAAGGGGAACCTTGTTTATTCTGTGCAGTTCGCCTGTATTCCTCTTAATCGCATAGAGCAAAGTATCGTTCCCACTAAATGGTGCATTCAGTTTATCAGGCAATTCAATGTTTTCTTTTTAACTGCGGTTCATAGCTGCACGAGAACGTAACTGTAATAAACGTTTTGCATGTGAAAATAATCTCACTCTGTTCACAACATGTGCCCAACGTATACGTAGTTTCGTATTAACGTAGTTTCTAATTTTTAAATAAATATTTTGGTCGAGCCGTGTTGGTGATTGCTTAACTGACGTACTGTATTCGTATGTGTGAGCGTGACAGCGGGAATACGTTAGTGTTGAAAATCATATGGCGGGCGAGCGTTTACATTCACAGTAGCTCCGTAATTTATATTATACTTTTATACATGGAAAACGAAAGGAATTTGTTAATTCATTCTCTGGAAGTTGTACAAGAAGTCGTCATTATGATGAAGTTAAGGACTGAAGTCAAGGAAGAAATTAACCGCTGAGAAATAACAAAAATCATCCATCAAGCATATTTGGTTAGAAACAAGGTCCCCATACTGTGTATAGAAGGTACGCGCTTATTTAATTAATTAAAAGTCAGATTATCGATATTAGTTTTAGTTCTATTTATATAAGTTATGCATGCTTTAGTTTAGTAAAGTAATAGATAGTAATTATACGTACAGCTTTAATGAACACGCTATCAGGTCTGAATATGATCTGATGTAGTAGGCGATATATTCTTAAACTATACTTAAATCTTATTATCAGGGTATGAGAGATTTTGGAGTAGAGGTATTTAAATAGAATTAACAAAATGGTAAGCAAATTACCACAGGAATTTAGGAGGTATCATCGCAATCGAAATCAATTGAGACATATCCTCAAAGAAACCGAACATGCACTGGAACTGATAAGTGCTGAGAATTTTTTTCCTGGAGGTGAATATTTAAAGCACTGAACTTACATTCCAAGAGAATCAGTTCAATTCTTAAAATATTTTCTTTGTTTACAGAAAATATTATTGAGGAATTATTGCCTCCATTGACATTAGATAACGTTAAACACATAATATTTAATTCACCTGCCATTGTTATTTTTGGACAAGACAATAAAGCAAAGGCAACGTTAGTTAATAGCTTACTTTCTAGTGATATTTTACCAGTATCTGATGGACCGTGGCGATGGATAAAAATAACTTATGATGTGGTAAAGAACATTAGTCTTACGTTAGGTTTAGAATATGAAGTAGTTAATATTTTACAAGCAAATGAGGAACCGTGGAGTACTCTTCCAATTGAAGATTTAACAAAGTCTGGTTCTGAAGACATAAATTGTCCAACTGTACTCGAAGTTAAGATAGATCAGCCCATATTAAAAGATGGGGTTCAAATATTTATTGCTCCAAATACTGGAGCGGTCAAGATTTTGGCCAAGGGAATGTTGCATGTACTACCGATATTTCTTTATGCTCTTGGGGAACACCCTTTAACAGAGCAAAACTTGGAAGAATTAAGAGATTTGAAAGAAACATATCCGTTCAATCCTGTACTTTTTATATCATCACTGGGAAATATAACATTGAATAGCATTGACGCTGAACTGACTGAATCTGAACAACATAGACTGCAAAATCGATTTAGTTCCATTGATTCTACGAACAAAACTGATAATGACGACGGTATTGACTTTGACAAAATGAATTCACTGGGTATAACATGGCTGGAACAACTGACCAATTTAGGCTTCCTTGGTATGGAAGAATCCGTTGAAGTTGATCAGCTATCTTGGCTTGGCGGTGGACATTATGTTTGTGGTAGTGACTTGGTGGATTCATGCAAGAAAACAGACAGAATTTTATATTTTGTACGTGGATGTTTGCAAACCTACCTTATTAAAGCCAGCACCTACTTAAACGAAGTACACTCAACAAGTCTAAGAAAATTTATACTGAGTGCATTCGACATGGCCCGAACAATTCAAATAACTCCAAGGAGGATACAGTATGCACAGATGAAAGAGAACAAATTGTATGCCAGTTTAATGAACATTGTTAATGAAAACCAAGAAGAGCTGACTGAGTTGATACAAGCCATTATACAGGAAATGAAGAATGATGTTTTATTATCAGAGAATGATGTATATCCATATCCAAACACCCACTTTAATAACACGGAAAGAGCGGAATGGTCAGCGACCGTAAGAGCCGCAACGTCCGAAGTCCAAAGGGTAGTGCTCGGCCGGTTAGGTGAAAAAGTCGCGAATCAACTTGTGAATTCTGTCAAATGTCTAAGAGAAACATTCCTGGGGACTTTGCAGCGTTGTCTGTTAAGTCTCGAAAGAACGTACGATCGCGACTCGTCTTTGCTAGCTAGCGATGCATTAAAACAGATACTTTCATCCGCGTACAACGTCGAGTTACATAATTCTTCGCCGTCCTTAATACACTCATTCCTAGAAAGATTAAGACAATTATTTAAGTCATTACCTTTACCATGGACACCAACGCCAACCTTAGATGCAGCATGGAGGAAAAAGGTGACCATCGATGTATTAAATTCGTTATCGGCAGCGAGGCTAGCTAGAACAATATCCATGCAATTCAGAGACAAACTCAAGGCGTCCCATGACTCGTTTCAAGCAGCTCTCAGGTCTTTAGATAATTATTATTCCGGGAAATTAGAAAGAACGGAAGAGCAAAGAATAGCTATCAGAAAGGTCCATGCTCCTAGGCTAGCGAAACTAGCTTTAGAGTCGACATCGATGATAGACGCCGTCCGCTATGGAATGCCTCATTGTGGCAAAGAAATAGGCAGAGGACAATATGGAGTAGTATTCGCCTGTGATGGCTGGGGTGGTGCACCTGGACCTTGCGCAGTGAAATCAGTGGTACCCCCAGATGAAAGGCATTGGAATGATCTTGCCATGGAGTTCTATTATACCAGATCCATTCCAGATCATAAGAGGATAGTAAAACTTCGTGGATCGTTCATTGATCAATCATATGGCGGAGGATTCGGTCTTGGTTCCGCAGTTCTTTTAATATCCGATCGCCTAAGCCGCGATTTGTATTGCGGGATTCGCGCCGGTTTATCCTGGCTGGAACGTATACAAATCGCAATAGACGTGTTGGAGGGAATACGTTATCTTCATTCGCAAGGACTCGTTCATCGCGACATTAAGTTGAAGAACGTTCTCCTCGACACAGAGAACAGAGCTAAGTTAACGGATCTAGGGTTTTGCATCACGGAAGCCATGATGTCTGGCAGCGTTGTTGGAACACCCGTTCATATGGCACCAGAACTATTGTCCGGTCATTACGACAGTAGTGTCGACGTGTACGCATTTGGAATTTTGTTTTGGTACATATGTGCTGGTCATGTGAGATTACCATATGCTTTCGAACAGTTCCACAATAAAGAGCAATTGTGGACTAGCGTCAAGAAAGGTAATTGTAATTTCAGTTGCGCGTTGATTGCCGGCCGATTTTCGTGTATTTCGATCGTTTCGGTGGAAGGAAATTTTCGATATATAAACAGTATATAGTAGCGAAATGTTGTAGACAATTATTGGATTGAGTTGTGCCATCAAAAGAGCAGAAATATTAGAATTTACTGGAATCAATCGTATCGATTAATTCGCTTGTAGCGTTGGTCCCCTGTAGTGATAGCGGAGTCTCGTTAGTTTCTCGGCAGTCAACGAATTTGAGCGTAGAAGTTTTATTTTCTTTTTGTTTTTATCATTTTTGTTTAATTATAATAAGGTATACGTCCTGAACGATTGCCTTCTTTCGATGATGAGTGTTGGACGTTAATGGAACAATGCTGGGCTGGGGAACCATACAGGAGACCTCTACTCGGTGCAATATTACCGGTCTTAGAATCGGTTCAGCGAAAAGCGGAAAGAGGCAAGTCCTTACAACAGCTGAACACATTGAAGCTACAAGAAAGTTCGTCATCAGACGCAAAAAATCCTGCTTTAGCATTAGCAGAACCTTATAATCAGAGGGGGGCTGTTATCAGTCCGCATCCTGCGAAACGCAAGACAATAAGAACTGTGAAGCATCCGATCTTTCATATCACTAATCTGTTTCAAGCAAGTCTTTGCTCTAATCTCTATGTTCAAATGCGGGAATTTTAAAATTTCTGACTTTGGTAATTTTAAAGAAGATCTGACTTGATTTAATTAGGCTTAGAACGTTCGCAAAAGAATCCATTTTCTACTGCATTTATTTGACAGCATTTCAATAGTATTTTTGCAGTATTAATTTGACGGTTACTCTCTAAAAAAGATTGTTCTTTTTTTCTCTTAATAGTATTCGTTTATTTAGCCAAAGACATAATAGGAACATTTTTGTTTAAATATAAATAAGATGGATAATTGTGTAAATATTTCGATTGTGTTAGGATCGTAAGCGATTGTGATAATTGATTATTGTTTTACATATATAATTAGTGGGATAAACGAACAAATTTTTACGAGACAATACATTTTTATCCCTAGACATTGCACTCTCATTACATATGTCAGTTCCTCATTATGATACAAACATGTTGTTATAAAAAAAAATAACAAAATCAAAAAAATTGTACATTAACTACTAAAGAATAAATAAAGTTTCCCAGTTTTCTATTTATAGCTTAAACACTACTATAACATTCATTCTCCAGCTTTCATACAATTCTTTCGTAATTTTTGTGACGTCTTTCTTTCTTTCGCAAAATCTCCGAGGATTCGATTTCTTAGATCTCTAAATCACCGAAGACACAATCTCAATGGTCGATAGATCTTATATGTTATTTACGAGAATTTATGTTTTCAGATGACAGATTCTTCGATTCAGAACCCACATGAATCTCCAAATGGAAATTAAAAGGGTGTTAACAATTTTTAAATGATTTCACATTTCACCAGAAATATTTCGATTTTATTGTACAATTGGACATATAACATATCTTCTTGATTACTAACAGCTATCAAGAAAATAACTAATTTTTATATAATAGGAGGTATGGTAATCTCTTAAGGTATGAAATACTATATGAACAGAGACTATAATTTATTAGAGCTCTTATCTACTCCTATATGTATAAATTTATAATTATATTTTACTACGTAACTTTTATACCATAAAAGTTTTATTTTCTTATGAACTAGTCAAACTACCCTTGTAAGTATTTGTAGTTTATAAAATTGTCAATTACCATGATAAACTGTTATTACTTAATGTAATTGTGTAATTACATTATTATAATTTTATTTTTATACACACAAATGTATACAAATATATCGAAAAATAACATATTTATTAATCAGAAACTTAACTGATAATAATTATACAATCAACGATATTTATTTAAAGTAACAAATCAAGATCTGACTTAGCTTTTTCTAGATCATGTAAAAATTTGTAAAATTCACTTATTGTCATTTCTACAAAGACATTATTAGTTTTACCATCTTCTTCCAAATCTAACTTAAGTTGTAGAAATGATTTTCCAATGTTATCAGATTCATTGCTAGCTGCAGTGACTGTAACAATTATATATTTATATAGTACAAATCCATACTATATTAAAAAGACTATAACAAAATTGTATAGTCAAAATATCGCGTATATTTATATTTAATACCAACAAAAAGATGTTACTTAGAACTTAGAACTGATATAAAGAATGAATTTTTATAAAACATGCACAATAAAATGCATTACAACTGCAGCTCTGTGGTTTACAAAAATAACGAAACGTTAAGTCTCGTTGCATAAGGTTAAGTATTCTTACCACCAAATCTCCAAGAAATTCCTCGTATTTTACTAATACTCTTAGCCATTGTTACTTTATAATTTCTTAATCGAACGGTTTGTTTACTTTCGAACAACGACAATCTTCATTGAAATACGTTTAAATTCAATTTAGCGTAACTTCAGCCATATACAATGGAGGCTGCAGCCATCCATAGGCAAGTCGCGATACTATTCTACCAACATTACAGACTTAATATCCAAAATTCAGACTCAAGATCCAAACCGTAGACTTAAGATCCAAAGCATAAACTTTCAAATTTATATAGATGCTCCACGCAATGTAATTTTCTCTGCCAGTTCTGAAATACCGACACCGTCATGAATTCCCTATCGCAGTAGCGTACTCTACTTGAATGGAGGAGACAGTTAGCGAACTACATAAGACTGCAACGTATGATGTGTCCAAGTGACTTTCCTTTTCATCCATCTTGCCTCTTGAAACTACCAAAATTGAAATAATAAGGTACACTTGAAACTAGTTATTCAATTAAGTGATCTAGTCTATATTGACTGATATCATCCCTTAACACAAAAGTGGAAACATAATTTGATTTTATTAATCTACATCAATGTGAATCCATATTATCACCAACCAATACTCGAGTACTCAACTCCATCAAAGTAAATGGATGCCATCTAACTTTCCTTGTCGTAAATAATTCTCTCCACCCCTAAACTACCCTTCAATGCTGACACATTTCTAGGGGTTGTCGGTTAGACAGAAAACCTCATCGAATGAGACTTCTCTACCGATCTCAAATCCTTTACCATTACAAAATTTTCTAATCAATCACCAAAAAGCAGGTATTCTTCGATGTATCATAATTCTTCGCAATCAAATATTTTCAATATATTAAATTTTATATTTCGAGATTATTCGCATGGCTACAGTCCTGTCGAACATCTCTGAATCCTTTTATTCCAACGTCCTCCCTTTATCTACGAGATTCTCTGACAAGGAACCAGGTTAATCACAGTCGACTTATCTGACCGCGATTTATTACTTTATCTCTGACCCGCGCAAAATAATTGCAATCGTCACGTATCGGTGGCGCGATGAGATATTTCAAAACCTTATCTGCGCCGGGTTCAACCGTACCGTTGGTAAGGGTAAAAGGGGTGGTTGCGCGGCACGGTTACCGAAGAGCCGGCGGGGCAACTCTGCTCCAATAAATCCTTCGGGCGTCGCGTACGCCTCGTCGGAAAACAAAAACACGAAGCGAATCAAAGGACAGCGGTTCGACGAGCACGGTGGGATGTAATAAAACGCGGCAGTTGTTCCGTGGTGGTTGTACTTTGTTCCTACGGCGGAATAAATTTCCGTTAACCCGACCTGCGTTTCGCCCTAATTTACTAAGCTCTGATAACCTACGGCAATAGCCGCTCGCGACTCGGTTTTAATCGGTTGTAAAGAAACTTCTTCTGCCCTTACTTTAAATTTAAAATCGATTTCTCCATACACGTTTCTTTGGTTTACATGCGATTCCACGGAATTGGCAGTTTGATTTTATATTTTAAATTCCCAGCAACTCTAAAGTGTTTCTTTTCATGAAGTGTTACATCGATTTTATAAATACACGGTGAGCCTTCTAATTTATAGAATTCAAACGATCCTGATTGTATCGAGCGCGCATTTCTGCGAACGAAAATCCACCAGACAAAGATGCATGTGTTGGTACCGTTGGCCTCGTGACAACTAGGGCGGCACATACGCCTACACAATGATTGCCCTGTAAAATCAGTAAATTACCCTGAACCGTAATTAAATATTAATATCGCAGCAACGGCGAGCTGCGCATTCCGGCACGATGGATTACCGTGCCAAAAATATCCAGCCTCGTAGCGTAATTAATGTAATTCACATCGAAATCGTTTCTCTCGCGAATCGGCAACGTTCTGCTCATTAAATGTATAAATCACCGTTGGACTCCGAATATTAAGAAACGGCAGACGACCTAGCAATGCAATATAGATGCGACGTAATATAAATAAAGATCATGGAATAATTTCGCGGTATCGATCTTCGGCAAAATTGAATATAAACCTAGACGGGGCACACGTGCGCCCATTTCTGCGTGCGTCAGACGGATCCTCCACTTTTATACCCCCCTTTACACATCGAACAGCTTCATATAACAATTTCTCTTCTTATATTGTACAGTAGATTGGCTTCCTGAAATATCTCGCGGGGAATACAGGCGTACTCCAGGTTTCCCAAATAATCGTGACGTACGGGGCGATCAAACGTCGCGAGGAGGAGTCAGCACCGCGGCCGGGAAGGGGTGATCCGATATCCAAAGGGATGCCTCTTAAAACGCCGCCGCTTACGCGAATTTTCTCCTTGAACTGGCACGAGTCTCGGGCCGCCTTGTAATGTCTTGTTCCCCTTTCCCGGTTTTATGGCTATCGCTCCTTTCTGATCCCGTTACGGTATAATCGAATCCCAACCTCCGCCACCCCGATTCCGTCAAACGTTTCTCGACCGGGCGGGGGCGGTAAACACCGGGCGATTAACAAAAAAGGAAATAATCACGATGTAGCGCAATTTTGTAATGCACAAGCGAGGCCGGGGTATGTAACGGCGTACCTGCCGGGGAATAATATGCAAACGAACCGTCTGAAGTACGGTTACGGGGCGCAAAAACGCAGCCCCGTTTAAACGTTTTAATTATCCGGGAGTTCC